AATGAAGTATTTTGTCATTCCTACCTTAGGTGATGGGGGTAGGTGTTTGGGACTTCAAAAGGAAGGAATGAAATTCACAGGAAGATGAAAAAGAGTAAATGTTTGGTAAATAAATGTTCACTGGGCCACACAGAAAAATTGGGACATAGGAGTTTTAACAAACAGATTTTGCTAAATTCCTCCTTCTTTACTCACCCATTCATATTATAATGTAGTTAACTGTGGTGAACAATCTCCTCCTGGAGTGGGTTCTTTACCTAAATTCTTTTTGGGCAGTTGAGGAAGAGGTAAAGAGCTGTTCCTGAATCTGCTGGGTTTTGTTTGCTTTTAACTCAAAATAATCTTCATGCCAAAGTGGCTCATCATGGGGATGTCCTGCCCTTGGTCCTTACAACATACCCCATTATAATTTATTTGGTAATGTAGGGCAAACCTCACACATATTCAAATCATCATGGTGAGGCAGTCATGCTTTATAAAGCTTTTTCAGACTCTCAAGTAGGAATTATAAATCGTGATGTGATGAGCACTGGATGTTATATGTAAGTGATGAATCACTAAATTCTACACATGAAAGGAATTTTACCATATATATTTACTAACTAGAATTTAAATAAAAACTTGACATAAGAAAAAGAAATATAAATCTTAAAATCTTTGAAGAGGTGAATGAAGCTTTTTCCTCTTGGGGAAAATGGGAGTAGAGAAAATTCATTAAGACTGGTGACAGAAAAGTCATGGAGAAAGAAGTTACAATATAGCAAATCTTCACTACAACTTTAGAGAGAAAAAAATACCAGAGCAAGATTCATTGGAGGCATTTCCTCTTTAAATGTCTTTTTTATAATTACTTAATTTTTATAGAGAGATTGCCAGATCCTTCCTAGAAATATAAACTGTCACATTTTATAAGGCTATAAATAATGAAATGCCCCTTCATGGAAAATACTGTCCTATTAAATTTGAGAAGTCATAAATTGTGTTGTTTTCCAGAAGCTCTGAGGAAAAGGGAGTAGTTTGTACTAAATACTTTTGGTAGTAAGTAGACCCGGGGAAACTGGCTAGTTTTGAACCAGCTCTGTTGCGTTCTTCCCAGTGAGGAGCCAGGGAATTGAACTCCCCTTGCCTCAGGCTGTCTGTCAGCTCCATGTGGAAATGACATTACCTACTTCTAAGTATGTTTTGAAATTTATAGTCTGCTAAGCACTAGGAATTCCTCAGAGAAAAGGGTATTCACTATGGGATTAGCATCTTAAGACAATATAGTGTTACTACTCTTAGGTCATTTTAATCTTTAAAAGAGTCTTCATTTTTGAAGTATGTTTCCAGTGCTGGCCCTTTAAAAAATATTTTTTTTATCAGAATGCCAAAAACAGCCATTCTATTCAGAATTTACAAAAAAAAAAAAGTGTCAAAAAGCTGTGCTGTGTGATACCAATTGAACAGGGTGCTTGTATTCCTGCTGATAGTTTTAATATCATATAGGAAGAGCCAAAGTCATTTTTGGAATGACAAACATGATAGATTCTCTGAGTGAGTCCCCAGCAGCTTCAGAAATACAACCAACATGTTATCAAGTCATATTACCATTGGCTATTCATGTGTGTGTGTGTGTGTGTGTGTGTGTGTGTGTATACATATTCTTTTATATTTCTTTTCAATATACTGTGAAGGAAAGAGTTAATAAAGAATAATACTAATTTATATTTGGACCCCAAACGACTTAACTTATATGTCAAATTGATCCTATTTTTAGTTTTTTCTAAAGTTTTTAAGCGTTACAGTTAAAATTGTGCCAATCAGCATGAAATTCTTTTGATGTGTCTGGAAGCTAATATTATAGAAACTAAAATTCAAAAATATGCAGTAGATAAGATTAACAATGTAATGTATATAATATAATATAATTAAGAATATAATGTATATAATATATATCAACTTCTGGATTTGGAGTATAACAAATCCCAGTTCTTTGGGGTGAAAACTAATTCAGAATAATATAAGGAAAAATGAAAACACTCTTTAAGTTGATTTTCAAGTTACTTTTTATTACTAATACAATTCTGATTTTCAGTATGCATCTTTCAAATACAGTCTTTTGGGATAAACACAGTTAGAAATGTCAGTCTAACTAGCAGGAGAACATAATCATTTTTAATAGAAAATTGTGGACAATGTAGATACTTCTACTTTGAACAGAAATCAAATGTGAAAATCTACTTTCTCTTTAAACATTTCTACAATTCATCTCTAATTATAATAACTGAGCCTATCTGATACAATCGTTTATCCAAAGTTTCAATTCATTAATACATATATATGCTTGAGCCCTAATAGGGTGGCCCTTTTCAATGTGAGTGATGGTGCCAAAACATAAAAGAGACATATTCAGAAATAAATGGACTAGAACCTGTGCATTTATAAAACTCAAAATACTAGACAAAATCTAAGTCATTTTAATAGCGGACACTTCACACACATGCAATGATGTGATATTTAAACTCAATTTGGCAGAAAGGTGACAAATTAGTGTCCCTATGACTGGCATAGTGTAACATTTTAGGGCATGCTTTTTAATCCATGGTAAAACAGGAACTCTGTCTACCTATGTAATTACTACCTGTAGAAAAATACCTTCACAAATGTGGCATATATTTACAAGCAATGGCTCTTCTAAAAATGCTGTTTTGATCTTACAGATATAAAGTATTCTTACCCATAAGAATCAGATCTCGGTGTGGCAGGTCTCCTGTCTCAAACATTAGCTTGAATATAAGCAATCTAACTTTACTCATTTTTAAATAAACTGGAGATTCAATATCTACAATACATTTTGTAATGATTTGACATTGGCACTTCTGCTTTTCAGAATTATATCTACAAATGACTTCTTGAAACATCAATTTCTAATAAAACTATGAGATGTTCATTTCTTTGTGAGTGAAAAATGTACAATTTTCCTGCCATGTATTGTCTTTCTCTTGATGTCTAGAATAAATTCAGATAATGTCACACAAATGATAATTTTGATCTAGTACATTCAAAGAGGGAGATGGCTATTTTATTATAATAATATTTAAGTTTACAACATCCGCTTTTCTTATTTTGAGCACAGTGAAAGTTTTAGTGAATAATCTAATATATATCAATTTCTGGAGTTGGAGTCTATTAAATCCTAGGAGTAATGGAAACAACTTCTAGCATTTATAAAAGAAAGCAATCAAATAGGATCTGATCCTGCCAGGCAGTCTTTTCTGCTAAGTGACCCTTATCTAAAGACACTGACATCTAGAGTGATTCAGCCAATATAATAAAGTTTGAAGCAAATAAGACTTTTTGTAGGGGATTCCTGAGAATTTGCTGACATACTGATCAATATGCCAGGCATTATTTTTTAAGATTCCATAGAAAGTCTTTGGAGTCAATAATTATATTTTATAATTTGAGAGAATTAATAGTATATAAATTTAAGGGAATTTAACAATATAACTTTAGAAGTATTTATCTTTTCTTTATAACTAAACAAATTAGTATCTGGTTGGGTCCATCAATAAAAGAACGTATAATTTCTTCATATTTTTAATCTTCTACTTCCAAGGTAAGGGATCACTTAGACCCTGGAGTTTTTTTTTTTTTCTTTTTTAAGTTTTATTCTGTGAAAGACACCATTCTAATGATAAATTCAAGACTTAAAGAGTAAAACAAAGCCAAATAATCACATTAAAAAATCTAAGAAAAATTTGAATACTCAAAATGTTTTCTTATTTTAAAATGCTCTCAATTCTTGTTTATGATGTTAAATACTTTGAATTTCCTTGTACTGAATACTTTGTGGGTATGGCAGTAAAGAGCAGGTGTCTGATTGTCTCATGGTCGTGCTAACAAGGCATGGGTCATGAAATTGACCAAGCAGCTGTTCAGCTTCCTTTGAACATCCTAATGATGGCTTTGTTTTCTGTAACTAAATAAATGGTCATGACCTACAATTGCATAATAACAGACACATCCATCTACCACTTCCTTAAATCCATTAACAATTTTTTCTTCACATCAACCCTTCCTCCATGTAACACATAGCACAAAACCTGTCTCCCAACAATTCCTTTTGGACCTTTAATTATACATGTAGTGACACGGATGACCTAACCCCCTCCTAAATTAATCCTGCATTTATATGATGAGCAACAAAAATGAATAATGTACCAAAGGCCATTCTACCAATGAGAGAATCTCAGAGTATCAGAGCTGTTAAGGATATAAGAGATTAAATAATCTGATTTTCTCATTTGACAAATGAGGATACCTGAACCCAGAATCTATTCCTGTCTCAGGCTGCTGGCTTTAAATAGATTAAAAATAAATTATATACCTAAATCTTTCTATTACCCATACATTACACAATTTGCCTCAAAAGTCCTTCTGAATTGTATAATTATCTTTCTGTCAAATCTTTCTTGAGAACACTTATATTTCAATTCTAAAAAACTGAATTTCACTGGACTTTTGATAATGTTTCAGAGAAATGTTTAAAATAACATCAAGGAAATCTTTTTTTATATAATTATCATTCAACGGCATACTCATACTCTCATTGAAAACTTCTCCCACGTTATGTTCCTTGTTGTTCCTGCTAATGACAATTAGTGCATCATATTTCGTTAATTCCTTCCTAGACTAAGACACTTAGAAGAAAATACTTAATTTTACTTTAAATGAGCAGTGTTTAGTTGCCTAGACTACCTCATATTAATGGAATAAATTGAATTAAGATTATGAATTAGATATAAGTGTCAGCACATCAATGCAGAAAGTGAATTTTTTCCTCAAAGAAATTCTCTATCATGAGCAGACAAGGAAGAGATCACTCACGTGTGCATATGTATACACACACACAAACTCAAATAAATGACTTCTGAGAACAAGCCAAGACCAAAAGTGAATCAAAATATACTGGAAAAGTGAAACACCCTACAAAGGAATATTTTAAAAATTACTATTGTAGATGGCACAAGATCAGTTTTTCTAACATTCATGTTTGGTGCCTCCATCCCCTTGGGTGTGGGTTGTAGTTGCAATCAGCTATTGAAAGACAGTAATCAGACCTAGTTTCCACGGACATTATTTCAGAATCATTTCTGGAAGGCTGCCTATAATATGCATATGGCAACTGTGAACCATATTGGGAGTTGGTGGACATATTATTATTAGGTAAAGAGGCAACATTATACTCTTGCCTTGCAAATGCGCTCACATTCACCTTCTGGGCTTGAGGAACATAGGACAGTCTCTCGTTCCAATCCTCTGAGCGCCCTGGAAGCGCCTTCCTCCTAGCTGCTGAGACCACATTTGCCACAATGGATTCCTGGATGTTTCTGGGTTTAAAGGCATCATCCACTAGACCAAGAGGAGACTTCGCTGCTGCAACCCAAGGAGTTAGTCTCTTGTTTGCCTTCTCTAGCTCATCAGTTGATTTGCTAGAGTAGTTATAAGCTGGCTGGAATACCCAAGGAGATGTTGTGGAGATGGTGGGTGGGACTGCTCTTCCAGGAAAAGAAAGGGAGTGTCCAATCTGCTAGAAACAATGAAGATGTTAGTATATCTCATTCATTTGGGTTTGTGCTCATTGACTATTATTTCAGAGTAATCTTGGCAACATTACTGAGCACTGTAAAAATCAAACCCCCAAAATACTTAGTCCTAAAGCCAAGACAGGCTGCCTCTGCCTGATGTATTATTAGCTCTGGCCTGGGACTTGGTCCTCACTTAGGACTTTCTTATTGCTCTTCATCTCTGAACCCATAGCCCCAATCACTACCATCTCTCTTGGACACAACCCCCACCGCTGGGACTCTTATCACTGGGAGCCGCCCTTACTTATCTGTTCTCCACATAGTCATATCTATAAACACAGCCCACACTCATTCAGGTCCTATTTTCCTGGTACAAAATAAACAAAACATATTGACTACCCCAGAAACAGACCATAAGCTACTGGGCTTTTTTCTTTTCCCAAGTGACTTTCAATCTGTTATCTTATTTTGGTCCACTGAATATAGCAAAATAAATAAATAAATAAATAATTTAAAAAAATAACAAATCCAAGAGCTACTTAGATGTATTTAATGTTGCTGATCTGAAGGAGTGGATGGACTTATTCTTCTCAAAATCTATTTTACATCGCTGAAGACCATGTGGATCTTCATTTCTTAAGCATGGGATATTACCCATGTCTCAGACAAACACTCCTTCCCCTTGTTTCATCTGAGATTTGTTTTTGTTTTTTTTTTAGTGTGTATTACATTCCTTACTTTTTTGAGATTTTGTGTCCCTGCAACATTCCCCTGTGTATGTGAAATGTTTGGTTTGTCAGTATGCAGAAATATAATTGACTGAAAGCTCTTGTATTCTCTCTCCTCTTGCTCCTTCTCTATGTCCAGGAACCCCGAAGACTAGTTATCTACATTACGTCCTCACACGTTCCCATCTGCATGAATCTCTTAGACAAACTTCTGGCAAAAAGTAGCAAATATACACCTAGGGGAAATGAGTCAACTTTGAAAGTATTATAACATTGTGTGTTTCTGGAACAAAAAGCATGGCCATGCTTAAAAATGCGTCCAAATTTCATAAACGGTTCCAACAGCTTTTCTTTCTTAACCAAGGCCTTAAATTTAAAGTGAATACCAACACCTGGATTTGACAAACTATCTTAGATTCAAATGGTTTGTTTTTGGTTTTCTGTTAGACACAAAAAGAAGGTAGGTGGTCCATTCTTGGCTTGCATATCAAGAATTAATTAGGGGGTCAGTATACTGAATCTTGCCTCTCTCGTTTTTATCATTAAAATTTCAGTAATAATTGTTGAGTCCTAACAAATGTTGTTCTCATTAATCTCTTTATCCTAATCTAGATCTAATAATAAGTTCTCTGGACTATATAATCAAGGAGGGGAGAAAAGCCTAATTTTAGTTACCATTTTGGACTTGATTTCTATTTCACATTATTTATGCATTGGTTTCATTCATTTAACAAAAATTTTATTGAACACCTAATACTTCCCAGGCACACTCATCGTAGTCTGCAAATACAAAGATGATTTAAATGAAGTCCTTGCCCTTAAGAAACATGTAACACAGTAGTGTTGTTAGCTTTGCAGGGGCAAGTTAATCAATCATGGAAGGTCACTTTAGAGACTCTTTACCTATCTTGACAGGATCAATAGGGAATTTTCTAAACTGTGAGAAGTATTAACATTCAATATGATAAAGTCTATCAGCTAGATAGACTAGCTAGACTAGCTAAGGCATAAATGTTAATCAGTTGAATATGTGAGTAAAAAGTAGAATTATGAAGTATGATATTGAAAGAGTAAGACTCTCTGAGGAAAAAAAATTTTTTGAGGAAAAATTTTAAATAGCATCAAAGTTAAAAAAAAATCTCCTGTAGAATAACAAATCGGCCAAATATAGTAGCAGTACTGGCTGTGAAGGAAGAGAGCAATTACCTCAATGAACAAAATGACTATTGCTCTCCTACAGATTCCTCAGACTGCCAAACATGCCTTCATATTCCTTTAAGTGCTAACAATAGTACATAAACTTACAAACTGTCAGAGATGAGAGATGCACATGTGATATAAATAAATAATTCTTTAGGTATGTTGTTTCTGTTTGTGCCCAAAATATCACAGGCTTCTGGTCCCTGCCTGCACCCAAACCCCTAATTTTAACATATTTCCCCAAAGCAATTTTCACATCTTGTTCTTTGGTGCTATTTCCTTCTGTCAGTCTCCGTCCCAAGGCTCATGCTGTTCTCTGCTTGGCCGGCTAAACGAAGCCACGTGATATACCCTGAGTCAGAGATGACCAAAGGGATCTGAAAATAACAGAGGTGTTTCTTCTATTTTGGAGTTTGAATGTCTGATGGTAGAATCCTAGCATATCATGGGTTAGATCCTTGGTTCTTGTTTCCACCATGGGTTGTATTAGTATCTAAAGAATTTAAATTTTTGACATGTGAGCACTTAACTATAACCAGTATGTTAAATTAGCATTACGTATGAGGTGTCATCAAATTGCTTCTTTCTTTTTGTCTCCTGCCACCCTTTCATTTTTTTAATGAAAGAGGTTTTTCCACTGTCACTAGATGAAAACTTAGTAGGTCCTGTGGCACTCTGCTTTCTTTTAGGAATAGTCCTGTGGTCACTTTAAGTTACCCAGACTAGTTTATTTCAAAATAGAATATTCCATCCCTTGCCGTAACCAACTCCAGTCTCAAGAGTTAAGTCTCTTCTCCCTGGGACCTGTTTCGGGAAGATCCTCTTCCTTCTGGGAAGGCACTGTGGTTGGCTTCTTTATGCTTTCTTTCCTCTCTTCCCTCAGCTTGCTAACTGGGACTTCGGGCTCCCTGGGCTTACAGTACAAGGATGGAGAAGAGACAAAGAGCAGAGGGGGATTTTTACTTGATTTGGTAACATCATATTCCGGCTTTTCACTCTCAGAGCCAGGTAGGCCCAGACAAGGAAACTTTCACGGGATCTTTGAAGATTCCTATCACTGGGGACATTTTGCTTGTAGTCCTCAATTCATGCCAAGTCATCCCTATTCTCATGGGTAACTTGTGACTTATTCTGCACCCCCAAGGAAGCTGAAGCTATGAGACGGTCTATTTGAAGAGGCCTCAAGACAACGCCATCCAGCTCTCCTTTTCTTCTGGCCTGCTGTGGTCCATGGGGAACACACATCATTTGCCTTTGACAGCAGCAGATTTCCTGGTTCTTTGCCAAAACAATTTGTCAGCCCATGTCTCACCTTCCAGATTTCTTGAGAGAGTGTCAGACCCCAATCCACTCTGCCTTCCTGTCCTTCCTCCTGCAGACATCTCATATCAAGCTCTCTAAGAAGCTATTTAAAAAAAAATTTTTCTTTTTTTTTTTTTTTTTAGACAGAGAGAGAGTGCAAGCAGGGTGGGGCAGAGGGAGAGAGAGAATCTCAAGCAGACTCCACGCCTAGGACCCAGCCCGACGTGGGGTTCGATCGCACGATTCTGAGATCATGACCTGGGTCAAGAGTTGGACTCTGAACCAACTGAGCCACTCAGGTGCCCCTCTAAGAAGCTACTTTGAAACTCTTCTCTCACAGGGGTGGAGGTGAGGGGGTAGGACCCTACTCCAAACACAAACCCCGTGATCTGTGGCATCCAGAATTCTTCCTCAAGAAATCCTCTCTTCTTGCCGTCCTCTGATAACCTTTTAATAACCTAGACCTGACTGGGGGGGTTCCAGCGGGAGTGGCTCCCTGCTGTGATCTTTGTAGAGTCTGTAGTTTTGTCTGAAATCAGACTTTAGTGTGCAGCATCTGTGATATCTGAGGGCCTCGGGGTATCTTTCGCTTTAATATCCTGTCATGTAACATTACTATTTTCAGAACACTAAGGCCTTTCTCTCATTTTTCTTTTAAAAATGAAATATAGTCTAAAAATAAAAATGATTAATTTCAAGAAATTCAAATAGTCTTAAGATTTGAAACCTTATATTTCACTCAGGCCTTGCTCTAGAGAAGGGGGCTCCCTTGTTTTCCCGGCATCTTGGTCAATCCTTAGGCTTTAACTGTTGAGAACTTCCTCCTCAAATTGAACCAAACTTTGCCTCCCATACTTTTACCCCAGGGATCCTAATAACATAAAATATAATTACTTCCACTTCTATATGCCTTTTCTTCACATATTCCCAGTTGCTTCCACACTCTTTGGACACCTTCACCGTCCTATTGCTATCCCTCACCTTCCCAAACTCAGGGGAAATAACAACTACGGTGGTCATTCTCTCAAGTCTTCTGCATCCTTCTTCCTCAGTTTGTTAGGTAAGGCTAATGCAGATATACCATCTTGATCTTCTTAAGTAGATGTATACACATAAACACAAAGGCCGAAAACAAAACAACAAAGACATCATTCAAACTGACTTGGGGGCTTGTCATCTGGCAGATGGCACAGTTCATATTGCATGTAGAACATTCGGTCTGTGTGTATTTAGAGTCATGTGTCCTTTAAGTGTTCAGTGCAGGAAAGTACATGCTAATCTTCAGCCAGTCCAATATGATGGCTGCAGCAACGGCTGCAAAGAACTGAACTCACGAATCACCTGGTGTTATATGTTCCCACCAAAGGCTAAACCCAGAGGAGCCATTTTCCTACCTCTGCCTTTAATAATAGCCAACACTGACAGCTCATACCGTGTGCCAAGTGGTGGCTACTAATTGCCTTACATAGAGCATTTCATATAATTCTCAAAACAAGCCTGTGAAGTAGGGCCTATTATTGTCCCTATTTTCAAGGACAAAGACAAGGACAGTGAGACTTAAAGATGGTAAGTAACAAGAAAGAAAGAGAGAAAGAAACCTCCCTAAAGGTAGAAAGTTAGTAAGTACCGGAGTGGGGAAGTTGGCCCCACACGCTTTCACACCAGAGTTCTTAGTCAAATATTAGACTGTATTTGTAATGAAATTGCTTTGAGAAAAAGTCTTTTAAAAAAAGGATTCAAATCCAAGCAAGCTAAATGAAATGAGATCTTAG